GTGGCGTAATCAAGATGATTGGACATCTGTATGAAGTTATCCATTTCACTGAGAGTTGTTATTTTTATAAATTCTAAATTTTCTTCGAGAGATATCTGTTATATTTGAGAGGTAAAAATTGAAAATTCTCAGTATTTAATAAAATAATCGTCGAAGGGAGCATAAATATTTGGTAAGATTCTAAAATTATTATTAATCTTGGTAACCTTATAGTTTATTATTACGATCAAATTTAATACATTTAATAGTGTGACATACTCAATGACGAGGTGCGCTCAAAATCTACAGTAGGTATAGAATAATAGTTACTGATTATGTTCTTGGCGATATTTTTTATTTTTGTTTATTATTTTACTGAGAATTCTTGTTTTTTATTTACCAAAAGTACCTACTAGATCCAATTTCTTCTCAAAGTTGACAAATAAAACATTTTTTATACTAGAAAAATTGTTTTCCGACACTAAAATTAACAAGTAAATACACATCATTATAAAATCAATACACTCTTAGCTCTGCTCAGAATCTAAGAAATGTAAATAAATGTTTGTATTTTTATTCAATTTTTTTAACAAAGTTAATTTTAATCAAATTGTTTATATTTTACGACAAATGAAAATAATTCCCCTGGTATTCTGCTTACAAATGGTATACTAACGTATTTTGGGATTACTGTCGTCTATTATTACTATAATAAGCCTAATGATTTTGTTTACTAATCTCCCTTCAGTGTACCTCATACACTATTTGAAGGATTTATATATATATCATCATATTCAAGTAAAATATATAGTCTCTAGTGGGGCTTAAGCAGCGTTTCTTACATCTTTGATTTAGTAGGTTTAAAAATGGAAGACATTGAAATGACTACATATCTACTGCAGAAAAGCAAAATATTCATATGAAGTTTCTATAAACTTTTATAACTTAAAGTTTTATCAGTTATATATTTTTCAAACCATGCATTTCACGAACAGCTTTTTCTAATTTACAAGAATGTATGTATAATATCAATGTATAAGGTAACAAATCTTCACGAATTCACAATGTCACAAAAGCATATAAACTCGCTTGTATTTTATTATTAAGAGGACATCGTACTCACCTGAATTTTTTCTGTTTATTGCTAATACATAACAACAAAGTTTATGTATTTAGAAGAATTTACATCTGTTAAGTTTAATATTTAAGTTAATTGACCTTTTAACAAATTAAACAGGCAAACATATTTTATAGCTCCACATAAGTTTTTGATGAGTTTAATTGTGAAGTAAGCTATGAACATTTGAAAATTGTAATTTTTAAACAATATTAATTGCCAACAGTTTTTATTATTATTTCTATTATTTGTACATATAAAATATATAGATAAAAATATTCAATTAGTATTTTCAGATATGCGTATACATTTATAAACAAATATAGTAGCATATTTTGTATTTTTGTATAAGTGAATTCATATATAGTATGCAATAATCTAATTTTTGAAAAGGCATTACAAAATTTAATATTACTATGTAAAATATTTAAAATGTATTCAGTGCTACATAAAAAAAATAAACTGTTATGATGTGAATAATGTTTTTGTAAATTCAATGAAACTTATATTTGAAAGTAACGAAATATAGAAAAATAGCTTTTACTCTAAATGTCATAAAATGTATAAAATATAATTTTACAATCAATAAAATTCCATTTAAAGAAAATATATTTCATAATATTACATCTACGAGGGGGGTTATTTTTATGTGTTGCTGTGGTAAAGAATAAAGCTTTCAATAGAATTCTTTTTTAACATTTTTGCACTTTTTTTTTCATTACATTATTGAAAAAAATACCATCTAATCAAAAACACAAACAATTATCTGTGTAATTAAAATAGTTATAGTAATTTGAAAATATAATAATAATACATATTATATTTTGTTTGTAATAAATAAAATGAGAATGCAACGTTTTATCAAAAATAATGAATAGTTCAAATTTTATAAATTATTATCTTTTAAAATATTAAACTACTTGAAAAATTTTAAATGTAATTTAAAAAATAAATAAGAACATTCCAAAATATACGATGATTGCTTTATAATAATTGTTTTATTTATAAAGTTTTCCCTGTTTCATAGCTTATACTATTTATAAGACGTTTATTAAAATCATGAAAATAATAAATACCTTTTTAATTTGTTTTAAATTAATTACTTTTTAAAACTGTAATAGAGTTGATTAGAAATAAAGATAAATATGATAAATAATATAAGTTTATTTAGATATATTTACATATTCTATTTTATAACTTTTGCTTCAAAATTTATATAATTTATTATATTTTTCAACTAAAAAATATAATAAAACAAAATCGTTGAAGTAATTATTATAGTAAAGGTTGCTGTTAACTTGATATTATTTAATTAAGTAAAAATTTACATGCTAAAATAGTGTTTAAATATAAGAACTAATTAAATGTAATTCAAACTTTGTGAGATAAATTAATTTAATATTATTGCTATAATTTATGTTTGAAAGTTCTACTATTCACAACTATTATACTTATATTTATGTTTTATTTTGATGAGTGAATAGAATCTTTGGAATTATTGGTTAATAAATAATTAACAATATTATGTAATATTAATTATTATACGTGAAATAAAATGTGAATACATAAAATGAATATTGGTTTATTCATATAAATGACTCTACTTGATGTAGCTTTTGAATTATACCCAAATATTTCGTATACGTCCTTATGTTTCTATAGTGTTATTTTCACTTTTCAAATATTTCTTCTTACTCAAAATATATTCTCTTGTCATCAATGTGTGACGTATATAACTTCAACACCAGTCTCCTTTTATTTATTTTATGTTTATACTTTAACTTCATATTTGTTCAATTTTTCTTATAAACAAACTGTAAACAACATTTATCTCAAAGCATCCGTCATTTTTCTTAACTGATAGGTGTTTTATTAAAGTAAATATAATATATAATTTAATGTGAATATGCATGTGCAGCATTGAGAAAATAGTAAATCTATTTAATAAAACATTTATTATATTTTCAGTTAAATAAGTCTATGTCTACATTACGTATCCATAACTATACATACCGTACAGTACATATTTTCCTTAAACCATTTTTTAACGACCTATATAAATTTTAAAGTAATTATACCGCTAAAGTACACAGATAATTAACAATTTATTTTAGAATAGGCACTTTTTGTGTCGAATAGTAACATATCAATTTATAGGCAAATGTATGTGATTGTAAGACAAATAAAATATTAGTCATAAAAATTAAGCCTTAATGGTTCTTTGTGAAAAAATTACCAAAAATGTTCTCAAAGTTAAAGAAAGAACGAACTAACCTACTTTGATAAACTAGACAAATTGTTTACTTTCTCAAAAAGAGATGAAGCTTTGCATTTTCAGAGATAATAATTCAAAAATATTTACACAAATTTCAAATATATGTCCTAAATTTGAATACTGACTGATTTAACTAGCTTCCTTAGTAGTCCATTACCAATGTCTCTTCCGGCAAATACAGTTTCTCAAATCAACTAAAACACATAATCAGCGAATTGAAAATAAGCTATTCGCTTTGATACGATTTAATTACAAACAAAATACTACACTATACTTACCAAATATAAATTGAGGTTATATAGTACTTATTAAATTTATTTACAAATATAATTCAATGCTGAGGTTTTCTTATTTTACATTAATTTGTAAAATTTTCATAGCCATACTTATATATTTATTATTCATTATGTAAATTTTTATGTTAGATGATAGTTAAATAATTTATATTTACTAACTAACAATGTAACCTTAATTAAGTATTACAATATCACATTATGTAATAGGACACCATTCTGTATATATTTGTAAAATAAAAAATAAAATATAAACTACATAAACACAACTTTCTGCATAGTCTTATAGACTTATAAGTCTATTACCAATTTTAGCGAAATTGCTTAAAAAAATAATTTTTAAAATAACTAAGCCATTTATATATATATATAATCCAAAAATATAATACTCCACTTACAGTTCGGTAGTTTATGACAAATTATTCAACAAGTAGATTAAGTATATAGATAGGAGTTTTTTTAAAGGTGAACTAAGCATGATAACATTTAGCACTACAGTTGTCTCTAGAAAATCAAATGTATTTCTTCCAGCTCCTTACTTATTTTATAATCTACTTTTATTTATGTGATCCGAAATTTTCAATTCGATAAGACAAATCAATCTGATTTTAGCTTTAATATTAGATTAAATTATATTAGGAGTATTATCATACACGAAAAACATATTGTATTACCCATGTTACTAATTTAATTTTTAGTACATTGGATTTTAACAATAATTCAATTTTTGAATTATTAGTATGTAATGATATATTACATACTAATAATTCTCATTATCATAAGTTTAATAATAGGTATATTCATTCTAAAACTAATCCTAACAGCATTAAACTGGTTCTAGTGAACACAAATATTTTGCTATTGTACGTTTGTGAAGACGGAGAAAACACAGCAGGTGTGGCGGGTCCTCTTAACGATTTTGTGTAATAATATGTATTCATTGTATTGTTCATTTTAAATCGCGTTTAATAATTTACTGACTAAACGATACTTATTATTGTCATAATTATAATTTAGGCTTTAGTATATTATCAAATGAATCGTTTGAAAGACAGAATAGAAAAATGTAAAGTCAGCTACACACAATAATAAATACAATGCGTGTCCATGAAATAAATATACCAAAAAACAATGCATCGTTTGTATATTATAAATTTATAATAACTACCTTTCTACAGTTAAATGTCTACTATTCGTATCTTTCTTTAAGATGTGTTTTGGGAAATTCGTACAATTTTTGAAATATATAGTTGTACATAAATGTCATATTTTTATTAAAAAATATTTAATTGAATGTATCTAATTGATGTTTTTTTTTATTTCAATGTTTGTTTAGGACATCAAGTTCTGTGAATAAAGAAGTCGATTATTTTGAATTAATAATCTTAATTGGATAACAGTCAACTACAATATGGATTACATAAGAGAATTTGACATAAGATTAGATAAAGAAATGTTTTATGCAGGAGAAATTTTGGAAGGCCACGTGGTTTTAGACACAATTGAAAATTTCAAATTGAAATGTAAGTCGAATAAAAAAATAACATAAAAATACATTTAATAGATTTAATTTAACAGAAAAAATTAAATAACACTAAAATTAAAATCAAAATGTGTATAATATATTATATTATTTTAGTACTTAATTATATATACATATAAGTACCTCCTTCTTTAATAAAAGGTATAATGAATAGTATTGGTTAATGCATCGTATGTCAGTCAAAAAATCTAAAAATTGTATTTTTTTAAAGATAAAAATAAATAATCATATATGCATTTTAACACTTCTTTATAGAATCGTATTTTATAAAATGTATTTAATTGATTTACTAAAATTTTATGCAGTTAAAACCCAGCTTTATTTATACAATATAATTTAAATTGACAACATTTCGTTCTTTGTGTGCTAGACATTTTAGGGCATTATTTTAAAATAACAAGTTTAAATTCAAGATTATTGGATTTGTAGACTTATATGTGTATATACGTATAAAAAGAAAGAAAGAAATATAAAATTTACGAATATTAATAAAAGTAAGATATTGACATCGTATTCGTATATATTTTTTTTAACTTTTATCATAAATTGTGTTATTAATGTTTGTTGTTAAAATATTACTTGACTATTGATCGTGATGATTTAAAAAAAATTAATTTATCCATTGTAATAAATAATACAATATTTTATCTGTAGAAACCAAAAACTTACATGTATTAAATAATTTAAACGCATGATAATTCGTTTTGTAATTTTAAATAAATATAAATATAAATTATACATGGAATGGAAATAGGATAGATCAGACTTTAAATTTATATTACAAAAGTTATGACAATTAAAATGTGACTGGATTTAATCTAATATTACTAAAATCAATGTTTAAAATATTTGAGTAAATCATTTTTTTTTTTTTTTTATTCATTATTATATGTCACGAAATTGGAGTGAAGAGTGACTTTTTTATATTTTAAATTAAATTTACCTATATTTCCCAGCAAAAAAAAAAAAAAAAAAAATCAGCTAAACAAAAGAGGATATGTCATGATGTTGAAATCAAGATAAAATGTTATACTACTTATCTACTATTATTTATAAAAGCATATGTATTATTGATCAATTTGTAATAACATATTTTGATTATTGTATGGTTAAATTAATTAATATTAAATACCTACTAGTGTCTACTTTTTGGTTATCACTTATCATTTATCATTATAATGTATATATCTACATAAATATGTTCTATCTAGACTTTATTGGTTTTAATACCAAGTCAAGAACCAAGAAGTTCTATTTAGATCACTATTAAATAATAAATTTGTAAAATGTGTCAGTTTAGAACCTTTTAGATATCTATAAATAGTTAATTAGTGCACCTAAATGGTTTTTTGTAAACTCGAACTATATAAACCATCCATCAACAACTAAATACATTTTATGTATTATAATATACTAAAAAAAAAATGGATTTAGAACCTTTTAGTTCAAATACTACAAGCTATTATATTTTGTTTTATCTCTATATACGTATTATAAACTTAACGTTTTATGAAACTAATTATTATATATTGTGTTAAGTACTGTAAACATATTGTAATACTAATATTTTATTAACTTCTATAAAGTTTCAAACAGTAGTATACGATAGTACTCATAGCACACTTCCTGGTTAAATCACACTTGATATTTTATAAATTTAAATTGAAACTCTTATATTTTATTCATATTGATTATATTTAAGATAAGTGTATGTGAATATCCGAGAAAATCTGAAAAATCGATAGGTATGCTTAATTTTGTTGTAATCACTCCACGACTGAACGCTCAACCTAACCTTGCCTTCACTTTTTAATTGAAATATTGAGATTAACGAAGTTTTCTTTTCTGTTCTTTGTCACTATACTATATTTTTCAAAATCAACTTAGTCACATAATAATACGTGCTCTGTGGGACACTATTATGTAATTATACCACTCGTATATATTTGATTTTGAAATAGGGATTGCCCTCACTTATTTTTGACTTGATCAGATCCATCATTCCGACACACATCCGAATACCTTATTTATGCTATTTTTACGCCATTTCTAGAGTTTTAAAAATATTTTAATAGTGTTTGGAATTCGATTTATTAATTTTTGAGCCAAATAAATAAAAATTAAAATAGAAATTAGGTACGTTTAAAGAATTTTATATAATTTTTAACACCAATGTAGTCAAAAATCAGGGATTTTTAAAAAGTTGACAATTAATTTTTTCTACATATTTCGAAAAGCATATCAATATGAAACATTTCAACGAACGTATTATGACTTTAATAGCCGCGCTACCAAATTTTCAAATATTATGTTCTAGCAGTAAAATCACTATCATGTATTACCCTATCATTTATGATACAACAACTATTATTCAGCGACGTGATTTGGAATGATTAAAAACGAACAAAAAAATAATTATAAAACGCACAGAAGGACTGAGGATTGTCTATAATATAGTTCAGTATTAATAAACATAAAATTAATTTACTGTGGTCCCATTACCCGTTGGCTCAAAATCTCAATTCTTGGATTACTAAGTAGCACTATTATACATGAATAGAAATTTACATATTACGTTTTATCATTTTGTGTACAGATTCATTATTTTTATTTATATAAAGGCATACTTAACGATTAATTTATCTTTTAACTAATACAATTGTATTTTTTTTTTTAATTAGTAGATGTAGGTATAATAATAATTATTATTTGAATTCTTGATCAATTGCTTCTGGGCCATAAGAAGAACTGAAATTATTATCATTTGTTTTTTTTTTCGTTTGATTTGAATTATAATTCATTTTTGAGACAATACGTTAGTAGTGTTAATATTTTCTACTAAAAATGTATTAATTAAACTATATTTCATTGTTAAAAAATCATCTCAATTTATACATTACATATTCGTTCAAAATGAAACAACAATTATTTATTTAAACATTGTTATTGATAAATTCAATTTGTAGCTTTAATTTTACGAATACAATTTATTATAGTTCCCTCAGAGTATGAAAGTTACAGTCAATACTTTACAAAGCCAAACTATTGTCAGAACAAGCTTTAATAAACATCAAACACTAATTAAAATCCAATTATGATTTCAAGTAACGGTTAATAAAAATTATAATTACATAATAATGGCTTGTCAAAATAATTATTATTTGCATGACCCGTTTTTATAATATTGTGTAAATAATACTGTTTTATAATAATTTATTCTCTCTTTTATTCTAAATAAATATATAGTTTTTGTAGTGAAATATTTCGGTTATTAAAAGTGTATCTTATTTATTTAAACAATATGCCTTATAATTTTTGTTGAAACCAATAATGAACAAGTTATTAACTTATTGACTATTGTATTGTTTTTTATAATTGTAATTTTAACAGTTAATGTGTGACATAACATTATAAATAATATATAAATTATTTTTTTATTTTTAATTAATATGATATTGTATAATTTATTCATATATTATACACCTATATACATATCAAGAAAAAAAAATATTTGAATTTTAGTATTCGACGATTATATTTTGTTAGATGATAAATTGTTTACTGTATATTATGCTCAGTAATTTATTAAGAAAATTTTTTTTTTCATAATTCATTACATTAATTTTAGGTAATTTTTTTGTTTTAACAACTAAAAAAAAAAAAAAAACATATGAAATATTCAATATGTTTTCAAAGTTATTATAAAAAATACTATTTTCAAAAAAAAGTTATGCTTAACTAAAAAAACTCATATTTTAAGTATTTTAAATCTATATGAAAGATATACTTGGATAATAATCATCGTTTTAAATATTTATAAAAGTTTAAAAATATTAATTTCCATAACTTGAAGAAAAATAATTTTAAATTTCGTATAGGTAGTTGAGTAAATTTTATTTTAAATTTTAAGGGGAGTAATGAATTTGATTTTACATTGATGTGATTTTTTTTTTTTTGTTTTGTATGCTTATGTTAGTAAATATTTTTTGCTCACTAAAAACCTGAAAATTTTATACAAGGTCCCTCGTAAATCTTAAACCAAACATTCAAAATTATGCATTTACTTAATTTTTTTTTTTTTAAACATATGAAGCTCAAATTTGGATGAAATTTGTTATTAAAAATAAAGGTTTTAGTTAATTTTTTGAAATTTAAATTTATTTTTACAGTGATTATTTAAGATTTTTACATATTATATTTTGTATGCACAATTACTTTTTAAAAACATTTAGACTAATTTTATGTTTTGCTTATTAATAGTTGATAATAAACCATAATATTACTAATAATAAAATTAATTTCTACAATGATAATTAATAGCAATTTAATATTTATATGATAACAGCAATGACTGATAATCTATCTCCGCACAATATCTTTATTTAAATACAAAGATATATATTATTTAATTCAAATTTAACACATTAATTACAGTGACCTATCCAACAACAAAGTTAAAGGTTAGTTAATTAGGTTAACTTAACTTAACCTACAGCATAACGTGGTAAGCTACATTCTCCCTTCTTATAATTTAATTTTATAAAGTATGATTATCGATCAAAATTGTATCTGTGTAACAAGTCAGCCATGGCTGTTTTTACAACTTAACTTATAGGTTTAATTCCATACTTTCCAACTACTGAGGTTTCGAGGTTTCGACACAAATGCAACGAAGTTGATGGAATCCATTTAACATTTTTTTTTTTCTTTTTTTTTTTCGTAATGAACTCTTATCTTATAAAGTATAATAAAATATACCTTTATGAAAGTCCTTAAAGTGTTGAATCTAAACGAGGTTACATTTTCGGTATATTTATGTTTCTGATTTTAATCATTGTTTTTTTAAGCTTATCGTAAAATTTATGTATTCAGTGTAAGAAACAATTTGAGTTATATAATGTTCATCCAGTTATACAAAATAATATATATATATATATATATATATACATATATCAACATAGTGCATACAAAACACGCTTT